TCTTTGAGAAGATAAAATAGATAAACCCGTAGCCAGATATATCAAGGAAAAAAGAGAGAGTACACAAATAAACAAAATCAGAAACAAAGAAGGAATAGTCATAACAGATACCACAGAAGTACAAAGAATTATTAGAGAATTCTATATGCCAATAAATTGGACAGCCTAGAAAAAATGGACAACTTCCTAGAAAAATACAACCTTCCAAGACTGACCTAGAAAGAAACAGAAAATCTGAACAGACCAATAACCAGCAATGAAATTGAACTGGTAATCAAAAAATTTCTAAAAAACAAAACTCCAGGGCCAGATGGCTTCACAGCAGAATCTATCAAACATTTAAAGAAGAGCTAATACCCATCCTTCTTAAAATACTCCAAACGGCAGAAGAGAAGGGAATACTTCTAAACTCATTCTGAGTCCAGCATCACTCTAATACCAAAACCAGGTAAAGACTACAAAAAAAAGAAAATTACAGACCAATATCCCTGATGAACATAAATGCAAAAATGCTCATCAAAATATTAGTAAACTGAATACAAAAATACATAAAAAAAGATCATATGTCACAAGTGGGATTTATTCCAGGGATGCAAGGATGGTATAATATTCATAAAACAATCAATATCATATACCACATTAACAAAAAGGACAAAAACCACATGATCATTCCAATAGGTGCTGAAAAAACATTTGACAAAATTCAACATACATTCATGATAAAAACTCTCAGCAAAATGGGTATAGAGGTTCCAAACCTCAACATAATTAAGGCCATATACCACAAACCCACAGCTAACATCATACTTAATGGTGAAAAGCTGAATGCTTTTCTTTTAAGACCACTCTCACCACTTTAATTCAACATAGTACTGGAGGTGCTAGCCATAGCAATCAGACAATATAAAGAGATAAAAGGCATCCAAATTGGTAAAGAATAAGTTAAACTGTCACTATTTGCAGATGACATGATATTATACATAAAAAACTCTAAAGACTGCATGAAAAAACTATTAGAACTAATAACTAGATTCAGGAAAGTTGCAGGGTAGAAAACTTGTACTCAGAAATTTGTTGTATTCTTATATACTAACAACAAACTAGCACAAAGAGAAATCAGGAAAATAATTCCCTTTACAATTGCATCAAAACTAATAAAATACTTAGGAATAAACCTAACTAAGGTGACAGACCTGTACTCTGAAAACTGTAAGACACTCATGAGAGAAATTAAGACACAAATAAATGGCAATCTATCTCATGCTCATGGATAGGAAGAATTAATAGTGTCAAAATGACCATCTTGCCCAAAGCAATTTACAGAATCAGTGCAATCCCTACCAAAATATCAATGGCATTCTTCAATGAACTAGAACAAATAGTTCTAAAATTCATATGGAACCACCAAAGACCCTGAATAGCCAAAGCAATCCTGAAAAGGAAGAATAAAGTCAGGGGGGGATCTCGCTCCCCAACTTCAAGCTCTACTACAAAGCCAACGTAATCAAGACAATTTGGTAATGGCACAAGAACAGACCCATAGATCAATAGAACAGAATAGAGGGTCCAGATATAAACCCAAGCATATATGGCCAATTAATATACAATAAAGGAACCATTAATATACAATGGAGAAATGACAGCCTCTTCAACAACTGGTGTTGGCAAAACTGGACAGCTACATGTAAGAGAATGACATTGGATTACTGTCTAACTCCATACACAAAAGTAAACTTGAAATGGATTAAAGACCTGAATGTAAGTCATCAAACCATAAAACTCATAGAAGAAAACATAGGCAAAAATCTCTTCAATATAAACATAAGCAACTTTTTCTTGAATGCATCTCCTCAGGCAAGGGAAACAAAAGCAAAAATTAATAAATGGGACTACAAACTAAAAAGCTTCTGTACAGCAAAGGACACCATCAGCAGAAAGGCATCCTATAGTATGGAAGAATATATTAGTAAATGACATATCTGATAAGGGGTTAACATCCAAAATATATAAAGAGCAACACTCAAAACACACATAACCCGATTAAAAAATGGGAAGAGGATATGAACAGATTCTTCTCCAAAGAAGAAATTCAGATAGTCAACCGGCACATGTAAAGATGCTCTACATCACTAATTATCAAGGAAATACAAATTAAAACCACAATGAGATATCACCTCACACCAGTTAGGATGACCAACATCCAAATAACAAAAAACAACAAATAATGGAGAGGACTGGAGAAAGGGGACCTCCCCTCTACTGTTAGTGGGAATGTAGTTCAACCATTGTGGAAAGCAGTATGGAGTTCCTCAAAACACTAAAAATATAAATACCATTTGACCCAGGAATTCCACTCTTAGGAATTTACACTAAGAATGCAGGAGCCCAGTTTGAAAAAGACATATGCACCCTATGTTTATTGCAGCACTATTTACAATAGCCAAGAAATGGAAGCAACCTAAGTGTCCATCAGTAGATGAATGGATAAAGATGTGGTACATATACACAATGGAATATTATTCAGCCATAAGAAGAAAACAAATCCTACCATTTGCAACAACATGGATGGAGCTAGAGGGTATTATGCTCAGCGAAATAAGCCAGACAGAGAGAGACAAATATGGAATGATTTCATTTGTGGAGTATAACAACAAAGAAAAACTGAAGGAACAAAACAGCAGCAGATTCACAGATTCCAAGAAGGGACTAGCAGTTACCAAAGGGGAGCGGTGGGAGAGGGTGGGTGTGGAGGAAGGGAGAAGGGGATTGAGGGGCATTATGATTGGCACACATGGTGTGCAGGGGGGTCAAGAGGAAGAGAGTGTAGCACAAAGAAGACAAAGAGTGACTCAGTGGCATCTTACTATGCTGATGGACAGTGACTGCAATGGGGTGTGGGGGGGACTTGATAATATGGGTGAATGTAGTAACCACAATGTTTTTCATGTGAAATCTTCATAAGTATGCATATCAACAATACCTTAAAAAAAAAAAAAAAAGAAGGAAAAAAAAACAAGTGGAACTACATCAAACTACAAAGCTTGCGTACAGCAAAGGACACCATTAGCAGAACAAAAAGGCAACCTACAGTATGGAAGAGTATACTTGTAAATGATTTATCCAGTAAGTTGTTAGCATCCAAAATATATAAAGAGCTCATATGCCTCAACACCAAAAATGTAAACAACCTGATTAAAAAATCAACAGAGGACCTGAACAAACATTTTTCCAAAGACGAAATACAGATGGCCAACAGGCATATGAAAAGATGGCACATCGCTAATCATTAGGGAACTGCAAATCAAAACCACAATGAGATATCACCTCACACCAGTTAGAACAGCCCCTATCCAAAAGACAAGAAATAACAAGTGTTGGTGAGGTTGTGGAGGAAAGGGTACCCTCCTGTAGTGTTTGTGGGAATATCAACTGGTTCAGCCACTGTGGGAAGCAGTATGGAAGTTCCTCAAAAACTATGAATAGAAATACCATTCCACACTGTAATTACACTTCTAGAAATTTACCTGAAGAAAACAAAATCCCTGATCTGAAAAGACATATGTACCCCTATGTTTATTGCTGTATTATTTATAATAGCCAAGATATAAAAGCAACCAAAGTATCATCAATAGATGAATGGATAACGATTTGGTACATATACACAATGGAATATTTTTCAGCTGTAAAAAAACAAACAAACAAATTCTGCCATTTGCAACACCATGGATGGATCTAGAGGCTGTTATGCTCAGTGAAATAAGCCAGGTGGAGAAAGACAAATGCCATAGGTTTTCACTTTTTTGTGGAATATAAAAAGAAAACAAAAGAGAAACAAAACAGCAGACTCATAGACACTGAAAAATGTATAGTGGTTACTATGGGGGAGGCATTCGAGTGAGCAGGTGGGATGGGGGAGGGGGATAAAGGGACACAAAGACTCTCACTCAGAACATAAATTCGTCACCTGTACAGTAGTACAGCATGGAGAATATAGCCAATAATTCTGTAACATCTATGTTGACAGATAATAACCACAGTAGAGGGGGTGAGGATTTAATAATATGGGTAACTGTTGAACCACTGTGTTGTATATTTGAAATCAGTATAAGATTGTAGATCAATGATACTTCAGTAAAAGTGATGCTTTGAGTATTTATTGTAATTTAACAGATTTAACTGTAAATTTATATAATCTGATTCATTAATAGTCTTTATTCTTAACAACTAGCTCATAAAAATTTAGCAGTCTTGCAAATTGGTAAAAGTTAGCTCGTATACCCAGCTCTATTTTCGAAAGGGCACTGACTAAAGGAGGCTTTGGGAGAACAAGTAATTTGCCTAGTTGATAAGTGTCTGAGTCGATTCAAATCTAGGTCTAAAACTCTGACCCAAGTTAGGCTTATTAGTCTTCTTAGGGAAGAATAAGGGCCTGTAGAGGGTTGATTCTTTAATCATCCTGTATTGGGATGGGGGAAACATATGTGGAGGGAACTCTACAGAGAATGCATTTTCTGCTTTTTATTTAATACTATCCTACTCTTCTACATTCCCATGTTGCATGCCAGTTTTGCTAGAGTGCTTAATATCTACCCAAAAATCAGACTAGGCTGGATATTTGAAGGAAGAAGGGAACAATCAATCCGTCTACCCATCATCTGCTGTTTTCTCTTATGAACAATTTTCTTTAACTGCTTTAGGAAGTGTAAATACAGGCCTTTACCACCACGAACCCCTTACAGTACTTACCAAACTACAAGAATTCTGAAAAGCTTCATAAAACTTGTGGTCTAAAATGTTACTACGCTTGGGTTGAGGGAAAAGGACACTATCAAAGGAACTGGGGCAAGAATGTGGGGACAGGATAGCCAACTGGTAGGCCTCTTGACATACTCTAAAACTCACACATTCCGATTGTTAATGTGAGATAATGACGTAATGATCAGAGGTGTTGGAGAATTTAGAGCTCACCCTTGCCCAACCCCTTCATTTTTATGAAACAGTTGTAGTGAGGTGAAGCGACCTGTAGAACGTCAGGCTGTAGATCCAGGATTAATTTATAGCTCTTTCCACTACACCACTCGTACGGCTCTTAAACACCCTCCCTGCACAGAACTTACCCCCAAAGCACCAGGAACCTTACTGGGAACTGGCCTACAGCTGAACTGAGGACAAAACTCCCAGTCGCTTCTGGATCAAACTGCAGTAACTCTGAGTCAGAGGGCTAAGGCCAACGTAGAGAAGCTCAGAGCCTTGAACCTGTACGGAAGCCTCACTGTGAGAGGCGAGTTAGATGCTGGTCCTGGAAATGCAGCCACGCCTCTCACAACGCCAACGCCGCACTCCCGAGCAGCAGGAACACCCGCGCGGGAAGGGCACGCAGGCGGGAGCGAGCGGAAGGCGGGTTTGCGTGCGCGCCACCGCGGCTGTAGGCGGGCTCAGGGGCGGGGCTCTGAGCTGGACCGGGGCGGGGCCGCAGGAGCTGTAGGTGTTGCAGCTGGGTAGACAGGTGCGCGAGGCAGAGCGCCTGCGACCCGTGGCAGGGCTTGTAGCAGCTCAGAGAAAAGACTGCTTTTAGCCAGGTAAGGGCCTTCTTTCGCTACATCCTCCGCAGGCGGAGAGGGCACGGAGACCCCAGCTTCTCTCCACACCCTCTTTCTCCCGCGACTTCTGGGACTCCGGGAGCACAAGCAACGTGAACTCTTTCTCCTAGGGAGAGAGTGTGGAGGAGCCGCTGATTCTTTGCTCTTTCCTCGCTTCTGGGTGCTGCGTTGGGGTTGGGCTGAGCCTTTGCTACCTGAGGGCGGGAGCTGATAGGACCCCCTCCTCTTCTGTCGGGAACACTCCTTTCTAACCAAACACTTTTTTGGCGTCGTGGAGGAAGGTGGCAGGTCAACACAATACAGATAATCTCCCAGGGAAATTTCTTATATTTAACTGCACCCTTCTTCATTTTCAGCCATTCCCTTCCTCTTCGATTTTTCCCCCCTTCTCTTCTGGCAACCGAATTCTTACACGCTTGAGGTATATTGAGAATATAGTAGTTCTTGGGCTGGATGTGTCGTCCCAGAATCGCCATCATGTATATATCGCTGGCACCTGTCACCAACATACATAAGTGTTGATATAAGGTAACTGTACACTCATGGCTACACCTACTAAGCTTGAAGTTGTAGGTGCTAGGAGGGAACCATCTGGCACCCTTCCTTGCCTTCTTACTGGTGCTTAGAAAAACAAGTTTAGCTGATCCTGGTAAGAGATATTTGAACTCCATTGTCTTTCACCTAATTACATCTTTCAAAAGTCTGCCTAATCCACATAGTTCTATTGGCTTGACTTCCAGTTATTGGAAGGTACTTAGGGAGTTATCAGCCTTTAAGACAATGCCCCTTTAAGGGAGGGGTCTTCTTTCTTTTGCCCTTGATTTAAGTGGTTAAACTGAATACTTTTAATCTGCATAGTTACCAAAAGGATCCACAAAGTATGAATATTTTAGGAACCATGAAATAAGACTTTCTTCTGTGGTCTGATGTAGACACAAAATAAGATGACCCTCAACAAACATATTTGAGGTAGATCTTCACAAAGTTATAAAACTAGCAGGTGGGAGGTTATTAAAAAGTGTGTATGTATATATATTTACTTGTTTTGTATTAATAGAATGACACATAACGTGGTACCAGGTAATTAAGAATTTATTTCACTTTTTGGACAAAACATTGCATGCCTCTTGTTTTGTCAGTCCTATTGTGGCTTCAAAGTTCCAAATGTCCCTACTCTAAAAGAGCCTAAAATTAAATGAGTTAGGCAGATGACTAGATAACAGTATTAGTAAGGTCAGTGTTATACTAGAGATCAGCCCAGAATCCTGTGGGAGCACAGATGTATAATACAGTTTTTTAAATTCCCACTTCCACTTTTCCTTAAAAGCAAAACAAAATAAATAATAACAAAACCTTTGAGTAATAGTGAATTATTCTCTTCAGTCCGTGTATTTGTATCATTCATATTTCTCATGTTGTTTTGTGCCAACATTATGGTCTTTCAAATGTGGGTTTAGGACCTATGGTCCGTTCTGTGGCAGTGCAGTAAATAGTTGGTGGAGCTATTTTCACTGTTCTGTATTGGGCCTGGAAGTGTTTTTATCAGGTAGTCCCTGAACTGTGGAGCCCCAGGAAGAGAATAGTGTGTCAGTAACATAGCAAAGCAGTTCCATTTTGCAAAAGTTACTCCATTGTACAACTGTTTAAATTGGTATATTCAAGTTTTATTCCAGACTCTGGTTAAAGGTGGGCCAAATTTCAACTTTCTAATAATTCTAAACAGAGAAAGCTTCAGAAGTGAAAGTGTTTCTATTAACAGCACATCTTGATGATAGAGGGTACTTTTTCTTGCTAAGGTACCCTCAAAGTGTCTTTTTCTTTCCTTTTTTCAAATGGGAGACAGAGTGAGTAGATGGGTAGAGGAGGAAAGGGTCAGAAGCATTTGAAGATTCTTTGCAGAGTTTTGATGATCTGAAGTCTTTGATAGTCTTAAGTGCTCTTCCTAACTGTAAACTTTTATTGGTTGCATGCTGTTTGCCAGTGTTCTGTGGATGAACGTGACATTGTCCCTTCTATGTGGTTATGTTTTTTCATTTTGAAATAGAGATTTTGAGTTAATAATACAAATGGTGGTTGTTTCATTTGGTAATTCGAGCCATTGTACTTGATGGACACACATACATCTCTTTGACATTGCTTACCTCCTTTCTTTCTGTTTACACTCTAGGAAAGTGATCTACCAGAAATTTTTAGGAAGACAGTGGGTATTTGCACGTGTTTAGATACTCACAATGCTTTTGCTGTTTCCTTATAATGTTTTCAAGTACAATTTTAATTGTTGTTCCTCTTAGGGTTTCAAATTCTTGGCTTTCCTCTGGTATTTTTCAATAGTCAACCATAATTAACTTAGAGCCTCTGTACCAGAAAGGTTCATCAAAGACATATACACATAGACACAAAAGAATGTTGAGAATGTGGGAGATCAGTAGACATCTTTGCCATGACAGGCCACCTAAACACAAACTGGGAGCATTTGTCATTATTTGTGGTGACAGCAAAACTAGTTTTCAAGCATTCTTAATCCTGAATAGATGACTTTCATTTACATTGGAATTGTTCTCTTTCTTCAGATAGGAAAATGTGTGACTTGGTTCCTAAATCAGGAATTTCCATAAGAAAATACCTTTTTTTTTTTCTTAAGGCTGCTATGGTCTTTCACTATATGTTTTCAATAGAAAGTTAAAGTACTTTATTTTGGATTGTGTACAGTAATCTCCAGGTGATGTTAAAGTACTCAACACAGACTCTCAAGGTTCTTGAGTAACCAATGAGTGGTTGTAAATTGAGTAATTTCTACTTACCGATTGTAGAATTGAGATTCCATGGTAAATGGTACTCTTAGTAGGACCATACTGATATGTTTATTCTGTGGCCAGATGCAAAGCCCTTGAAACTCAGTCAAATTATTGTACTAATGCAAACCTCTTTTCATAAAAAGTAGGAGATTGGATCCAAGAAGCAATTCATTATTTAACATGTCAAATGATTTCTTTATACTTGAAAATGTTTCTAGAGACTTCACATGTATAGTCATGAGAAGCTAACATGATACCATGAAATATTAAATTCTTACTTTCTTTTAAAGAACTTCTTAATTATGCTACACTGAAATTAAGAACTTCCATCTTTAGGAAAAAAAGATGCAACTTTTTTGTACTTCTCAAAGCAAGTGTGAAGCTATTTTCTTCCCCTTATATATCCTATCCTAGAGATTACTATATGGAAAACTTTACAATCCGTTTAACATATTTTTTCTTGCGTGCCAAACTATTGCCAGTTTTTGTTTTAGTACCCATCGATTAGTAATCCTAATGTGCTTTTACTTAGTTTTAGCTTTCCACAACCATTTTCCCCTGTAAACTGAAGTGTAGGCAAATGGCTCAGTACTTATTTTCCTCATGGTCAGTTTTACTGAACAGGTAGTATTTGCTCAGATTTGGCTTCCATCTCCCGCACTAGGGGAAACCTATCTGTCCATGCATATTACCCAGTGATTTCCCTCTATGGCCCTGTCACTGTCATCCTTACAGCTGGCAACATTTGACCAAGTGGACAACTTTTCTGGTTCTTCCTTTCATTTGGCTTTCTTGACATGACTATTTGGTTCACCATCTTATGATCTAATCACTTTCTCCTAAGCTCCTCCACTAGCTCAGGCTTTTTGCATCTTAAATGTGGGTGTTTGTCATGCCCCTGTCCAGCATCCTGTTCTCGTTATATACTGATGTATTTTCCATGACTTCACCTACACCTTATATATGCTCATTATAGAAAACCTGGGGACAAAATAGACTATAAGGAAGACAAAATATCCATAATATGTTCCAGAGAAAGCTACTGTTTGGTATACTTCCTTTCAGTCTGTTTTTTTTTCCTTTGATAAACACACAAACACACCCATTCACATAAACACGCAGGTAATTGGTCTCATACTATTACGATAGATAGTTTTGTATCTGCTTTTTCACTTTACATTATGTCATAATTTTCCATGACATCAAAATTATTTGAAACATTTTATTGGATGTTGAATACCCTGTTGTATGGATGTTGCATAATCTGTGCATTTGGATGTTTTGATTGTTACAACATTATTAATAAGTGAAAAAATTGAGAACAAATCTATAGATAAATGTTTGTACAAATTGTTCGTTATTTCCTTAGGTTAGATGCCCAGAAGTTGAATTACTGAATCAAGGGCATGAAAATTTAAAAAATACCAAACCAGCTGCCAATTGTTTTTCATAAAGACTAACATTCTCACCGATAGTGATTTTGAATGCCCATCTTAGTGCATGCTTTGCAATACTGAATCTTGTTTTTTTATCTTTACTAATCTGATAAGCAAATGTGATTTAATTTGTATTTCTTTAATTACTAGTAAGAGTGAACATTTTTCATATATTCATTTCCATTTCAGTTTCTTCTATGAATTGTCTTTTGGTTAATCCATTCCCATTTTTATTTGGGTCTTAAGATTTTAATTATGTTGTTCTTTTATTCAGGGTTCCTTCATTTTTTGGGGGCTTTGGAGGAGGGAGTACAGATTTTTTTTAGGCCATATTGAATGAATGGAGCAAAGAAGTGGAAAGTGTACAGTGGTGTTTTAAGTACCCATTGTTATGAGAAAGCAGAGCTTGTGGTTGATGGAACAGCTCTGCAGAGTGGATGGGTGCTGGCTTGAGAGTGGGGATTCCCAACTTGGGATTCCCAACCTCTTAGGTGCTTTGGGGCAAGTCGTTTATCCTCTCTGAGCCTTATGTGTAAAATGAGAGGGTTGGACTCTTGATCCCAAAGTCCATACAATCTCTGTGCTGAAGGGAGGACTTATGAGCCACCATTTGCTAGACATTCTGAAGTTGTCTTCTGTCCCATCCCTAACTCTTCACCCGTTTTAGATATATATAGTGCCTGGAGAAGGACTGGGTGCAATAAAGGTAATTTCCACTGGCGTAGCAAGTTATAATGGAGACTGGGGA